CTTCTTTGTCATTTGTTACCACCCACCCTATAACTTCCATGAGATACAGAGGAAATAATGGTGATGATTTCATGAGGTGAATAAGTTGGGGTAAAAAGGAGGAAAATAGTTGAATAGTGTTGTTCTTGAGCTTGAACTGGTTTGAAAGATTAAATCGATAGTAAAAGTTAGAAAAAAAAACAAATAATAAATTTTACTACCTATCAACCTGTTATCAGGTCACATAAAGATATTTTAAAACAGAAAAATATGACTTCATTCCCTTAGGTGTTGTTTGTTTTTTCTAAGCAAAATTCATGAAGTCTGCGGACCACCTTTGCAACTCTTTGTAGCAGAAGAGGTGGACCAAACACATGCACCTTGTAATATGAAGTCTGTTTGTTTTTTAATATCTGCACGCTGCTGCAATAAACTGAAATTTAAATAAACTGATTTTACAAACTGAAAATAGTTATCAACAACGAAATTTTAATAATTCTAGTCTTAAACATTGAAAAAAATACTAAAAAGAACCTATAAAAAAACAAAAGAAAAAACATCGTAAATGGTCCATGGGGTTTCCCCATATCTGAATTTTAGTCCCCGTGGTTTAAAAACATCATAGATGGTCTCTGTGCTTTCAAACTTTTGACAATTGAAGGATTTGGATGGTAATAGGATTGGGGGGGGGGGGGTTGGTTTCTTTTGTAAGCATCAAACTAGTTCAGGGGGGTTTTGGATTGTGATGGAATGGGGATTTTTGGTTTCATTTAATTGTATGAAGGTTTATGTAACACATTAAGTCAATGGAAGTTTAATGTAATGTACTTTGTTATAAATTAGTAGTTTTGATGTGCATTTTCGTAAATACATTGTTATAACTGCATCTTGCAAATGTTAGGAATGGTATTTCAAATGTACATAGTTATACATGCATCTTTTTTAGAACGGTTTGGAGATGGTAATTCATAAGCAAACTGTTGATAAAACCATTACATACCAAAGTTTAAACATGAGACTTAGTTTAAAAATACTTAATGATGGAAGGTCTCAACCCATACAAACATTACAAATTTAAACAACCAAACCATAATTTAAGTTTCAAAAGCCCTAATTACCCAAACATCCAACTAACTACTTAACAAAATTTCCACCCCCTTTCCATTTCCATGTGTCTTCCCATTTGCTCCAACTTCACCAATACCTCCCTGCCCTTTACATGTTCTGGAATTGTGCCCCTTGTTATGACACTTTGAACACGTGACTGCAAGAAATTTCCTGCTCAATTTAGTGGTTTGGCTGTTGGGCTCATCAACACCTTTCATTATCTTCTCTTTTTGGCCTCCTAACCTACACATATGCATATATTATAGTTAAAACATAAACATACATGTTGGCATTCAAAGTATATATTTAGACTAGTTGACATATCAACCTCCGTCTGATGTTTTACTGGAGTTAAAGTGAATGGACAATCACTTTTTGGCTACATTGAACGACCATTAATTGGATCAATTTTGTTTAGATACATGGATCTCCATCTTGATAACTTATAACAAGGATGGACCCAATCCTCAACATCAGGGGCATCTTCTCCATTTTCAATTTTGTTCCATATAACAGAAACAACATGCCTACAAATCTCCCAGAACCTACAAGTACAACTTCTTTCATTTAAGTTGACCACATATTGATACTGCCATGTGCTTGCAACTTGGTACTTTCCTATCCCATTATACTTGGCTACATAATTTGCTGCTTCAGTCTTAATCTCCTCTAAAATTATAGTTGCAGTAGTACTTAGTTCCCCTTGACACTTATCTATTTCCTTTTGCACAACACACAATCTCTTCATAAGATACTCTTTAATATACTCTAAGCAGGTGATGATTGGTTTATCCCTACCTTCATCTATCTTAGCATTGAATACCTCACAAAGATTATTCAACAAACAATCAGTGTGTGCCCTACCTGTGTAAAGCATATTCAAAAAGAAAATTACACATTTTATATTAAAAAACTTAAAACTCAACAACTTGTTAGTGACATACCACTGAAGTGAGATTTAGACCATGTCTCTGTAGGAATCTTACACAACCAAGAATGAGCTTCATCATTAATTTTCTTCAAATCATCCATTGCATATTTAAAGTGATTTAATGTTGTTGCTCTACCATATTCCCAAACCTTGTCACTCAACTCTTTTCCTTTCCACCGTTTCTTTATATTCTCCTGAATATGCCTCAAACAAAACCTATGTTTTGCATTGGGGAATACCTTTGCAACTGCTGGTATTATCCCCTTAACAAATACAAATATACTTAGTTTCATTTATAAAAATAGAAAGTAAGCTACACTAACATGAGAAATAATGAGATGAAACATACCTTTTGTCTATTAGAAATGAAGGTAAAATTTGAATTTGCTCCCAATTCCAAGTCTTCTCCTAACAGTTCCATGAACCAGGTCCAAGAACTAGTTTTTTCTGCCTCTACCACTGCATATGCTACAGGGTATATTCCATTAATTGATTCTAGACCCACAACAGTTAGTACCTGCCTAGGATATGGGCCTTTCAAGAATGTACCATCCACTCCCAAGAAATCCTTTAACCCAGATTTGAATCCCAACTTCAATGCACCTAGACATATATATCCTTCTAAAAGTTCTTGTAGTAGTCGACAAGCATGCTTCAGGATACACATCTATCCTAACAGTTGTACCAGGATTAGTGTTTTGCAGTTCAAAAGCATAATTCCTCAGATACCCATATTGTAGTTGGTAGTCCCTACTGATGACACGTTCAACCATTTGCTTTGCCCTAGCAAACTTTTGAGTTGACATACCAAGCTCCAGCTTCTTACACAACTCCTCGTATAAAGCTTTGATTGGAATTCTAGGGTTACTCTGAATTTATGGAACAATTATGTTTGCTAAATATTTGGAAGTACAAGCTTTAACTGATCACGTCTGCAAACATTTATGGTCATCTTGTACTGTTTTCACCAACTAATCCTGATTTTCATTTGGCCTCGAGATTTGGATTTCCCAAGGACATTTTCCTTTTTTACTAATGACATTTTTACCCTTGCACTTTACCTTACTTCTAGTTGATGGGCCACCACGTTCAACTGTTTCAATAGATTGGCCCACAACACCTCCACATTTCACCCTTATCCTGATTTAATCATTTTTTGCTAAGTATAGGGACCTCCTTGTTTTTACATCATGTGAATGCATGTAATCTACAACTTCCTTCTTTGTTTTGAAACTATGACCCACCCTATACGGTTTTAAATGGATCTCCCCATGTGAGCATGTAGTTGACCTACTCATATCCTTAAGCATTCTTTTCCTTTCATCTTCATGAAATCCTGCAAACTGATAATCATCACTTTGAATAACTTCCAACTCTTCATGAACTATGTCATTCCCTATAGTTTTGGTTTGCTTGTTTAAAATTCCATGTTCATCTACACCCTTGGAATGGCCATGACTTTCATCCAGATCTATTACATGTGACTGGTCAACAACATAGTTGACAGGGTGGTTTAAATCAAGCTTTCTATGTAACAATCGGTTTCAGATTTGCCTTGTTGCTTGGGGCTGCGGCCCAATCATCAATTGTCATGGAGTTTAGGGCTTCGGGAAAGGAAGGATTTAGCCCATTTCGGATCTAGTTGCCATGGTTTAAGTGATTCATGAATTTGATTGTGTCTTTGGAAGCCAAGGGTATGACTGTAAATTGATATCTCGATCTTTTATGGGTTTTGGGTTTTATTAGGAACGTTTTAAGGCTTGGGGGTTTTGTTAGGAGCGTAGGGCTTCTTGCCACCTTTTTGTGGACATAAGGTTCGTTGGAAACAAACCTAGGATGAGTGAGTTATGGCATTTCGAAGTTATTGACAGAATTGATCATTGGATGGAAAAGCTTGCAAATTAGTCCCACGCATGAAAGGATGCATGTGCATGTTTAGCTGGGTACGCCTAACGTAGAGTTGGGAAAAGTGGACGCGGGTTTTTGGAGACGTACGCCCAGCGTATAGGAAGTACGCCGAGCGTATGCTCAGGATCCCCAAACCCTAATTGTTAGGGTTGCACCATATATAAAGGCCTTATGTCCGCCCCAACCTTCATCCTTTCAGCCTCCACTGTCCCTAAAGAGTAGAAATCGAACCCTAAGCCTCTTGTATGCCTTGTGAACTATTTTGGTGCACATTTGGGGTGGTCTTGGTGGTTTAGAAGAAGAAGAAGGAGTTAGAAAAAAGGAGCAAGAACGTGAAAAGAGCTTGTAGATCCAGAAGTTTGGCATCTTTTCTGTCTCATTTGAGGTATCAAGCTTCAAATTTGACCATTGCATGCTTAGTTGTAGTTTTAGGGTGTTATTTGTGGCATTTTGGCCCCATAGATGAGACTTCTTGTGTTCTGGTAGTTCCAGCCCATAAAAGCTGTCTTTTTGAGCCCTTGGAAGCATTTAGAACCATAAAAATCGGGCCTTGATGGTTAAGCCACAACCATGCAAGTGTTAGATGGTCACAAAGTGTGATTAAGGATTTAAATTATGTCTTAACCCCCATCTATGCATGCAAAGACATAAAGTTTGTAACTTTATGGTTTAAGACGTCTTAAATGTTTTTGTTTATGATATATAATACTTGATGCAAAATATATGAATGAATTGTATTTTAAATGTTTTTTCATTGTTATAAGTTTCATCAAACAATATATATAACACAAACAAAAATATTTAAGGTCAAAGTTAAAGAAAAAAAATTTCAAAAATCAAAAATAAACAATTAATTTGGAACCGACAAACTTATATGTTTTATAAAAAATTAAAATATGATTATATAATGTAATATATATATATATATATATATATATATATATATATATATATATATATTATTTATTTTGTTGATGAAAACTGTAATTGGTTGCTGAAGACAAGGGTCCTCCTTCCAGGAGGTGTCGTTAATGGCCGAATCATAAGTCCTGTATCCCTGTTTAAACATTTACTACTCTTTGGAATCTTTCTCTTTCTCTTTCTCTTTCTCTTTCTTATCTTCACAAAGTCACACTTGGCCATGGGTATGGAGTGTCAGTTTCCTTTCACGTGCTCTCTCCTCCACGAAATCTTCGATTTCCCTCTCCTCTCCATTATTATTTCTTCTCTAATCACTCTCACCCACACTCCACATAGACAGCCATGCATATGCATCTCCTTCTTTCCAACCACTCATGACCTCAAACCACTCTCCAATGGCTGCTCTACTCAAATCCACCAGATATTCATGCGCTATTTGCATAATCATTCTCGGATTGCTGTGTATGAAAGGTGATTGCGATGGTTCACAGCTTTTTATCAAGTTACTGAACACGCCTGAACCAATCTCCAATCTTAACTCGCCTACATTTGCTTTCCAAGTTGGTAATGCCGACTCTTCTTCTTGCTCCAATTGTACCTCTAGCTGCAAGGTTTGTACATTATATCCTCTCTGCTCGACTTCTATTTTCTATTTCTGTTATTGAAAACGACTGAACCATTTTTTTCCTGTTGCAATTTGCATGCAGCTCGATGATCTTCCGGCATCGAATTGTTCAACGGGAGAAGTTTCTTACACTAAATTACAAGACGGAAACCATACATTCGAGGTGTGCAGCAACAACGGATCTAATCAGCTTCGTTGTGCTTCCTATAACTGGACAGTCGGTTAGTTAACTTAACTCTCCTTTATCCTTTTAATCCTCAGTCAAAATTAGGTTAATTTAGTAGCTATAATCTTATCGTCTTTCGGTTTTCCCTGTAGATACTGTTCCCCCAACGGCATCTGTTGCAGCAGCATCATCATTCACAAACGCTTGGAACGCTACCGTGTATATATCCTTCTCCGAACCCTGCGGCGGCGTTGGTGGTGGTTTTAGATGTTTGTCCGCCAATGAGTGCAGCGTAAGTAGGTGCTTAATTGCTTCATTAATCGTTAGATATACAACTCTGTATCTATAGGTTTACAAATTCAAATCTAACCAATCAAATTCTCTTCGATTTCAGCTTCTAGTTTATGGTGCTGGGCAAGTCATTCCAAAGACGCTAAAAACCATCAAGCCAAATCTCAAATATTCCATTTTAGTAAATTTGTCTCCAATCGTTGAATATGGAAGAGTCGTGTTAGTAACAGATAAAGGTTTCTGTACTGATGCAGCTGGAAATCAATTTACACGCACAGCTAATTCCAGTTTCTTTCTTCATTTTGGTGAGGCTTTTACCTTTTTACCCTTGAGGTCAAACAAAGTCAAACGCTAATCACTATACTCTATACTGACAATTAATTTGTTGACTGGAGTTTATATTTACAGATAGAAGAAGTGTATATGTTGACATGAGGACTCATATACCCGAGCAACTACTTCAGCTCGATAACAGTGTTAGATCTGTTCAAGCAACTAACAAACAAAAAAACTTGAAGTTATATCTATATTTCACTGAGCCTATAGTCAACACATCGACACAAGTATTGAAATCTCTTCAAATTAGTGAAGGATCTCTTGTTTCAGCCACTGGGAATAATGACAGCCTTGGAAACAGAAGATTTGGGTTTCAACTTGTAAATATTTCCGATATTGCCATTGTCACTGCAAGACTGGATTTGGGATTAGTTTTCAGCAGACAAGGCACCCCGGTTTCTCCCATCGCACCGGTTACTTTTCTTTTTGGTAAGTTGAGAGTTTGAATTCAAAAGATAATTAGATTTGACTTTAAAAGTCAAAGGGTAGATTTGAGATTTCAATTTTGTTTTACTAACTAATGTCTTACAGATTCTCAAAGGCCTCATGTGAGGTTAAGTACCACGAGTCATATGAGGACACGACAAGAGCATATTCCGGTGACCATAAAGTTTATGAAACCGGTTTTCAGTTTTAATTCGTCTCACTTATCTATTTCTGGAGGAGTGATGCAAGGGTCAGTTTATGTTTTTTTTTTTTTTTTTTTGAATAAATCATGTTTGAGAAAACGATTTAACTTTCAGTGAATCAGTGAAACGGTAGGAAAAAATAAATGAAGGTAAATTTGTAAAAAAAAGAAAAATAAGACTTAACGGGATTTTTTTTTCTACACCATGATTTGCAACTGTCTTGAAATGTAATTCTAATCATTCGACATGATTTTGTGTAGATTTCGAGAAATAAGTAAGAGTGTTTACTCACTCGAGATTCAACCAGTTGAAGACATGGTGTTGGTGCAAGTTCCTGAAAATGTAACTACAGATGTAGCCGGAAACAAAAATCTAGCATCGAATACATTACAATTATTACACTGTATGAATTCTTTTCTTCATGTTTTTCTAAATTTCGAATATGTACAACTTGCCCCCAAACTTTGCAGAAATGGTCATGGGTTTGAGTCTTAGCATTTGCAGTGTCACAATTTAATTCCAATGTGAATTGGGACCTTGTGGACACAAACCGATTTATATCTCACGATATCCATGACATCTAATGCTTTGAGGCAGAGCAGTGACACGTGTGTCAGCTCAGGGGTTGTTGGAAGAATAATTGTTACTTATTACTCAATACGTAAACCTTTTACAGATTCTATACCCTGTGCATCCTTGGCGCTTTCTTGCACGGCAACAGCTGCTTTTGTGTTGACTGCCGTGGTTGCAACCGTTCTCACCATTTCCACCGCTTCCCTCCAAAATTACGGAGCATTTGCAACTCCGTCTCCTTTATTAACTTCAAGTCCCGCAAGAATTCTTTTTGTAAGATACTTTCTTACTGTGTACCTAAATTACATCTCACATGGTGTTTTTGGACCGGTTCAGGGGTTGCTAGAAGAATAACTGTTTTTGCAGAAAATAAACAACTCTAATTGTTTTTTTTTTTTATGTTTCATGAAAACAGCGAATTGTGTGCCACATTCAAGTCTTTGCGTTATCTGGATGGCTAGCTGTTCCTTTGCCAATCGAGTATAGTGAATTTGTGAAGGGTCTAAGATGGAGTATACCCTACTTCAAACTCCCATGGGAAACTGAATACGTTCAGCCAGTTTGGCCTACAAATCCACATTCATATAATCCTACAACCTACAATTCTGCATCTCAAAGTATGCAACTTAAAGCCACGACTGGAGAAAAACCCGACTCAGTATACGGATTGCCACTCACCGCAATGGAGTATAAGTCATTTTTTGAGGTCAGTAGACTGCAATTTTATAAAATAACTACTGCCAGTGTTCTTTTTTTACTAGTTTTCTGACAATTGTTTCTTTAATTAGAGCCAAAATGCGATACCTGAGGCCGAATACATTATGGATCCCAATGATTCCAATGGGTAAGTTGTTCCATTCTATATCTTTTCTCCAAAACTTTTTTTATATTTTTTTGCAAGTATACAATTTTTAGAATTATTTTAATAAAACTAAGTTCTGTCATGCAGGTGGAAGGATTTCAATCGGAGCATGTTTTGGCTAGCGATCATCAGTGGAGGCTTGATTATTCTGCATATACTGATCCTTCTTTTACTAAAACTTAAAAAGAAGAAAGAAAAAGAAAACAATTACATCTCAATCGTATTCCCAAGATTTGAAATGTTTCTAGTCATTCTTGCAGTCCCTTGTGTTTCTGCAGCTTCAGCAGCTCTACTCAAAGGTATATTATTATATATATAAAGCTTTGACTTTTAAAAGTCAAACCTATTATTTTTCAAATTTTAAATTCCTTTTTTTTCAGGTGGATCAGCTTCAGGGGATTTCAGTGGGCGTTCTTCTATTAGGATCCGTGTTTTTCCTAATACTCGCATTGTTTCTGTTCCTTTCTGTGGGAATATCATTCGGGAAGTTACTTCAATACAAAGAAGTTCATCAAGAAGATCAAGATATCCACTGGTATCAATCACTAGTGAAGGTAACTTTGGGTCCTGGAAAAAGAGGCCAATGGACATGGATCAACGCATCAAATTCCAAATGGCTATCAATTTTAGGCCCTCTTTTCGAAGATCTAAGAGGGTCCACCCAAATACATGCTCTCTCAAATCACCGGAGGAGTGGATTATCGCACAACCGGAGGCAGTATCATCGCATCAGACGATGAAAACGAAGACGCAGAAGCACCGTTTGTCCAAAAGGTATTTGGAATTCTAAGAATCTATTACATTTTCCTCGAATCGATTAAACGAGTTACTTTAGGAATCCTTGTGGGTACCTTTTCGAGAGGAGGATACTCTGAAACACCGACGAAAACGTTGATATGTGTCACTTCGTTTCAATTGTTCTTCATGGTCCTCAAGAAGCCGTTCATTAAGAAGAAGGTTCAATTGGTGGAGATAATTTCCGTTTCGAGTCAACTTGCGATTTTTGCGATCTGTTTGGTTCTTTTGAGGAACGATTTTTCTATACACGAACAGATGAAGATCGGGATCGCCATGCTTTGCTTGTTCTTGTTCGCTTTCGTGGCGCAGATTCTGAACGAATGGAACGCTTTGATCTGTCAGTTAAAAACAGCTTGATCCCGATAACAAATCTCTCTATCTAGGTTTGAAAATAGCATCGTGGGGGATTCTTCTGCTTTTTGTACCGATTAAGTTTATGAAAAACATCGAGAGCCGATTCCCGTTGAAATCGCAGACGGCGGTGGCGGCGGTGTCGGTTGCGAGGTTTAGAAGCTCCTCCGGTACACCGGATCGGCCATGGATGAAGCAACTGAGAGATTTGGCGAAGTCTAGCTTTAGTAGAGAAGGGAGCAGTGGAACACCGCAGACGGATCCTTCGTGTAGTCGACCAAAGTGGAGTGGGTTTTGGAGTGGGAAGAGAAGTGGGAGTTCGTCACAGGCTACATCCATGGATTCGAAATCGAAACCAAAAGGGATGTATAAAGATTTTGAAGCCCTTTTTGGTTCCAAGTGAGTGATTTTATGCATCGTTCATAAGCTTAGTCTGTAAATACGATTTAATGATGAAAGAGAATTTGATGAGCATGTTGAAAATATTTGAATTTCTTACCAGCATCAATTCTAAAACTTTATACATAGAGAAATAAAAAATAAATATCTATTTATTTTTTCTATTTAAAATTATACTCCCTCCGTCCCAATATTATTGTCCACAGACAAAAAACACACGTATCAAGAAAAGCATTAATTACCACTAACTTTATTTTATAAAATGACAGTTTTGTCCTTACTTTGCATTTAATGTTCCATTAAATGCTTAGTTGGTTAAGTAATAAAGAGGAAGTATTTTGGTAAAAATTTTATTTATTTTTAAAAGTGGACTATTATTTTAGGACAACCCAAAAAGGAAAGATGGACTATAATTTTGGGACGAAGGAAATAACAAATATCTTAGAATATTATTAAGAAAAAATAAAATCATAATTTGTCATAATAATTTAAATAGATATGATTTAAAGAGAAAATTGCAAATTTAGTCAAATACACTAATTACTTTGTGAGAAATAGCCAAAACAAACTCAAATTACAAAACTAGCCCTTAAAATCGCAGATGGATTAAACCCATCTGCGATTTTGCCATTCCATCTGCGAATGTACAAGTGCCTAAAGCACAGATGTGCTTTAGGCACTTGTACGTTCGCAGATGGAAAAGTCCATATGTGATTTTGTGAAGTCCATCCGCGATTTCATGGGATCTAGTATAATAAACTTTTTTTTTCTTCATTTTTCACTTTCTTTCTTGGAGAAACTTTCTTTTTCTCTGCGATTTCCTTAGAGCTATCATTGATGATATCATGGACGATTTCCTATTAATTTCGTAGTCAAAATTTTTAAAAAAAAAAAGAAAAAAAAATTCACAAAATCGCAGGTCAAAAGGAGAGGAAATCGCAGATAGACATAGTCCATCTGCGATTTTAGGCTGAAAAAGGGGTATATATACAACGGAAAAAAAAACTCACCTACGAACGTACAAGTGGCTAAAGCACGTCTATGCTTTAGCCACTTGTACGTTCGCAGATGGTATGACGAAATCGCAGATAGATTATACAAATATGCGATTTTAGTGGCTAAAAATGCAATTTTGGTTTTTTTTGGCTATTTTCAACAAAGTAGTTAGTGTATTTTGCTAAATTTGCAATTTTCTCTAATTTAAATGGATAAGGAAAAAAAAACAAAATATTTTTTTTTTTATATATATTAGAGATAACTGAAAAAATAGTTCTTATAGTTTTCAAAAATTTCTTTTAAGTTTTAAAAAGTTTCAATTGGTAAAAATATTCTTATTCATAGGTTTAATTTGTTAAGCCAGATAAAATGTTTGCCTTGCAATCTACCAATCTGTATTTCCTTTAAATTTTGTTATCATTTATATCAAAATTTAACTCAGCTATCACCCCGCCTCTTCAATACCCTCATTCTCGCCTCAATTTCGGTGGTCTTCTCCTCCGACGACAAAGAAACATGGAACTACGTTTTCACACGTGCACTTCAGCTTACTTTTTTCATTTTTATATTTGAACCCAAAGACTAGCCAAAACCATGTCTAATTTACATACCCGCAATAAAAAGAAAGAATAAATTCTATAAACCTAGATGATATTTCTCACTTTAACACAACCAAAGAAAAAAAGAATAACTATTATAGAAATAGGATAATATTAATCTAATTTAAAGATCTTCACTTCAAGATCAGGCTTATCATGACATTTCAAAGGTCCCATCCGAAAATTCAATTGAGGTCTCATAATTTTTTGTAATGTTATTAATTAATTCTCCACCATTAAATTAATTTAAAACTTAAAGTTGACAACAAACATCTTATAATTCTCCATCTAAGCACCATATAAGGATCTTCACTAATTACTAATAAGTTCAAAAGGCTACAAGAAATTTTCCAAAACAAGATAAACAACTAGCAAATTATTATTTTTTTATACACCGATCTTCTAGCATTTTAGAAACAAATTCATCTATTATACTTTCATAATCAATATTTTCAAGAAACTTATTCTTGATTGAAATCAAAACCAAAGTGTTTAATCCCCATTGAGACATGGTAGATCGCAAGTAAGATTTTAAAAACTTTAGTTTTGAAAAGTTTCTTTCTGCTGATGCAACTGTAACGGGACAATCAAAATTATGTATGTTAGACTTAGATAATAAACCGCATAAGTGTTTATTATTGTTAAATAAATCATCACCATAGGTGTCTGAGATATAGTCATTTTGTAAATTTTTTCAAGTTTTTTATAGTTCGCCTTTAGTTCATCAGTATTAGTGACTTTAACTTTTATGTTATGAATAAGAAAACAAAAATGTCTTCATATTGCTTCATTACTCAAACCTCCGCTCCAATGAACCAATATAGTGATCATTTATATACACAAAATACCGAATCTTGAATGATTCTTGAGATGAAAGTTCATGTACTAGTTTCGATGACTCAGTATCACTATCGTCTGTAATAACTTTTCTTTAACGAACAGATCATAACACCAACATAATCTCACAATCCTTCAATTTTTATTATTATTCAACACTTCAAAAACTTCAAGCTTGTTGATCTATTGTTTTTTTTATCTCCGTATTCACTCTAAATTATGTATGTGATTTGTGTGTGGGTGTGTTTACTAAAATGATCGATACTTTTTATAGTGACAAAATATGTATAAACATGAATACAAAATGTTATTGAAAATTGATAACTATTGTAATAATTTTCATTAATTTATGGAATGTAAAATGATATAGATTTCAAATCAATATGGTTTAATATATGATTTTGAATTACCTCATTTATAGTATAGAATAGATATGGCAAGAAATATATAAATGATGGTGTTAACGTATCCCTTTAGGAATACACCAAATATAACAGAACCATTAAAGACGACCTGGTAAATGGCCATCATTTGTTTAACACTGAGGTCGGGCTGTAGCACCCGATTCTTGGTACGTATTTAATTTCATGGAAATTTTACAATTTACTCTGGGACTCGGCGAGTTGGAGGCCCAACTTGTCGAGTAGACTCGACTGTTGGATCGGGGGTTTAAGTGACCTACTCGACGAGTCGGAAGACCGACTCGACGAGTAGGAGCTGTCTGGACAAAACCCTAATATTTAGGGTTTGCACCCTATTTAAACGCTTTATCTCATCCCAAACCAGCCTCCATCACCCTCCCAACTCAAAGAAACCCTAGATTGAAACCCTAAACCCATTTTGAGTGATTTTTGAGCTTGTTGTGCCATTTTGTGCAAGTTAGAAGGTTGAAGAGAAGAAGAAGAAGCTTGGGATTTCAGAAGGAGCAAGGAGACCCAGAGATTTTGCTTCATTTCCTGTTTATAGAAGGTAAAATGTCCAGACCTTGCTTCTTCTTTCATTAGATACTCTTTTGGAGCAACTTAGGGCTTTTGGAAGCCATTTTGGAACCATACTTGGATGCAACCACGATTTTTGGATTAAGACTTCAGATCTGGAGCCATTGAGGGCTCCCATGGCATAAAGGTGCCAACTTTATGGCCATGGGAAACCCATGCATCATATAAACCCCATTTTATAGCCTTTTGAGCCAAAAACCCCATGCATGGACATCAAGTTCGTAGCTTTACGTATAAAAGGGACCCTAGGAGGTCAGATTTATGATTGGGATGCATTAAGACCCACTGAAATAGACTGTTTAATCTTGGACAAAGAAGGACTCGGCGAGTCGGGACGCTTTTTACCCCAAAACGTCTTCTGGAAATGGTTTTGGTTGAGTGGAAGGAACACTCAGCCTGCTAGGGGTTTGTTTGGACATGGAAATCATGGGACTCGACGAGTGTATGAACAGACTCGGCGAGTCCAAGGCAATCTCCCAACTTATGAAGGCGAACTCGTCGGGCTCTTGCTAGACTCGACGGGTAGGGAAGGGATTAATACATTTTGTGGTTATGGGGACTCGACGAGTTGGCGGGCCAACTCGGCGAGTCGAGTCAACTAGATGTTGACTTTGACCAAAATTGGACTTTGACCATGGATTTGACTTTGACTTTGACTGGGATTGAGTGACCCTTGTAAGGGTTGCGGGTATGAGTTGATAAGTTAGAAGAGTTGTCGTGTAGGGATTGAGGAGTCGGGGAGAGTCGATTTCCACATCGAGATCAGTGCAGACACCACGCGACATTGAGGTGAGTTACCTTCCAGTAGCGGTGGGTCTACGGCCACAATGTCGGCCCACCAGTAGGAGTTGTATGTGGATGATTGTCTTTGTGATATTCATCTGGGTTTGCTACTACCTGATATGTTTATGTGATAGTATGATATGTTATATGTGATAGTGGTAGTAGGGGGAATATAGTCCCCAAGTTCGGTCGTTAGGACCGAAGGGTAGGTCGGGCACCCCAGAATTGTCTGACAGTATGTTTATGTTAAGATATTATGTGGTAGTAGTAGGAGGTGAAATAGTCCTCGTATGTCGGTCGTAAGGACCGACGGGTAAGTCATGCACCCCACAATGGCTTGACCTGGGTAGTTAGGCACTCCAGAATTGCCTGGCAGTATATGTGTGTTATATTGTTACGTGGTAGTGGTAGGGGGTGAAATAGTCCCCGGTAGTCGGGCGAAATAGACCGACGGGTAAGTCAAGCACCCCAGAATGGCTTGACCTGGGTAAGTCAAGTACCCCAGAATGGCTTGACCTGGGTAAGTCAAGCACCCCATAATGGCTTGACCTGGTTAGTCAGGCACCCCAGAATTGCCTGACAGTATGTTATTGCATGTGTGTGGTATGATGGGGGAACTCACTAAGCTTCGTGCTTACAGATGTCAGTTTTGTTTCAGGTACCTCTTCAGCGAAGGGGAAGGAGCCGGCGCAGTAGCGACACATCATACACACGCATGATGTCCGCACTATGAGATTTCTTGGGATTGTACTCTGATTTTTATTACTATGGATGATATGGTTTGAGACAAC